TAATTAATTTAATTTTTATTTTTAATCATTTTCTTTAATCAATAAAATCACAAAAAAAATAGTAAAATTAGAACTAGACTTTTAATAGGTTAATTTAATTTATAGACAATATTTTTCTTAATTAATTAATTAGACATATGTTTCTTTTATAATTAATTAAATCTTTAATTTAGGTTTAAAGTATATTTATTTTATAATTCAAATCAAACCAAAAACGCACAAAAAAATTAATTTCTAATCTTTTAGATGTTAAGACTTTTAAAAATAATTTTGTAAATATTTTGTATTTACTTTTACTATTTATTTTCTAGAAATAAATGTATAGGTCGCACGAGTATTTTTGTAATAACTTAGTTTATTTTCCTGCATTTTTCCTATCATGTAACTGTTTATGGGATGTAATAGCTTAAGTTTAAATTCCACATTTTTCATTCCGCACTTTTTCTTATGTAATTTCCTCAAGGCCCTGTAATAGGTAGGACTTTATTTTTCCGCACTTATAATTATTTGCTTGTATGTATATAATTGTATAGTAACTAGGCATGTATGAAAAGATCTAAAACCAAAACGTAGAAAACTTAATCAAGACAAATTAACTAAAAACAAATCACTGTTCACACACGCACCTCTAGAGTAACTACACTTGTTGCCTTCGGAGAAAACAGTCATGTCCCTCGAACGTAGGGATACCATTAGCAAAGACCCTCGGTTAAAAATCATCATAAAGATCATAGTCCCTCGATGAACCTTCGATGCTGCCTTCGGTAAATGATCTTGTCCATCGATGTTGCCTATGAATACATGATGATAGTCCATTTGAATTGTTAAAGGTATCCCTATATGTTGCCTTTATGACTGTACGATGACCTGCGTCTGTCCCTCAAAACATCCAACGACAGGGATTCCTACTAACCAATGATAGGATAACACTATCTAAAGGAGGAGGAAAAGAACAAAAGACTTTTGAGTAGATAGATAGTTCTTAATCGCTTGCTCGCGAACATTTCAAAACATTTTTCACACAAACACTTTTCAGAAATATTTTCAAAACAAACACTTTGTATGCTTTCTCAACGATACAAGAACCATTACAAAGTTGCCGAACTTAGGCATTTTCAAAATATTCTCAAACTTACATATTCACAAAGCATTTTCAAAAGTGAGCTAGCGATTAAGAGCCCGTAGATAACTACGGATGAAAAGGGTGCTAACATCTTCCCTTTTCATAACCTGCCCCCCGAACTCAGAAAATTCTCGAAGGTCTTTCTTGTTCTTTTCACCCTTTCCTTTATTGGATAAAAGAAAAGTCGGTGGTGACTCTTACTATCCGTAATATTTGCGATAAAATGCAAAACCAAAAAGTCAGTTCTCCCACCGCATCACAGAACTAGCGACTCTGTTGGGGACAATACTAAAAGTGAGGTTACCTTAAGAGCCAGATCACCTTTAATGCTTTACTTGTTTTCCTTGTATGCTTTATATTTCGGGATATGCTTGGGTTTATTTCTTGTATAGATCTTATACCTAGATCTGGAGGCATTTTAGGTAAGTAGCAATAGATCGTGAAAACTGTATGGCGTATACCGATACAGTTGAAGCGATGGCTACGTTAGTGTGACACATTGGTTGGTGTCGGTGTCCCTTGAGTTAAGTCAAGGAGAATGATGGGTTGCCGCGTGGTGTCATAAAGAACTAACTGACTGTAGAAGCTTAGTTGACACAACTTAGCCATTAGAAAGTAGCGAGATAGCCGACTTTGGTATGGACTAGAGTTGGTTAATACTCGATGCTACACTCATTGAGATCAGACTCTCGGGATATTTCGGTTGCAAATCAGATGTTTGTGCAGAAACAATGCCTGGGAGAAAGATCAGTGATATTGAGGCTCCTAGAACCCGGTTACTTTTCTTAGGACAAGTTGAGCCAACTAAAACTCAAGAGGGTACTTACCTACAAACTCCATGCAAGCCTGAACCTAAGGATGCTTGTGTGATTTTTTTGCATTCATTATCTAACAACTTGAATTCCTTGCAGGGCTTGTTTGTATTCATCATCTAACAACGTGAATTCCTTGCAGGACTTGTTTATATTCATTATCCAATAATTTGGACTTCTTGCAAGACTTACTTATTTTCACCACCTTACACTTTTGTTTGGTGCATAACATACACATCATGATATCATGCCATAGCATTTTCGTTAACCATTTCAAGGACCTCAAGGGTCTGTGATGCATGCTTATTATGAACCAGACGTCTAGCAAGGGGTAAGATGATTTATTTACCTCTAATCGAATGCCGTTGAAGTATCATGAACCAGACATCTAGCAAGGGGGCAAGAGAATTTATTTTCCTCTAACCAAATGCCGTCAAAGAACGAAGTACATTATCTGGAGTCAAAGGCTAGGACCCACTCGTCATGGTGAGCTTGATTCTCGTAGAAGGACATTCAACGATAAGAAGTTCTTCAATCAAAGCTGCAGTCAGACTCTAACATTTTCTTTTGTTTATCCTGCGAGATCCTTGAAAATATTGAATTTACATATCATGCATGTCATTACATAACAGGTAGTTCTCAAGACAGGTTTCTCATTTTCCCGCTATTTACTTCAGCAGAAAAATGGCTCTCGAACACACCGTCAGAGATCTCCAAGCTCAAAATGCACAATTCCAAGAGATGTTCCTAAGCTTAGCCAAGGGGCAGGAGGAATTGAAAGCACTCCTCACCAAGAATCCTAAAGACAACAAGGATGACCGGTTGGAATAATTGTTAGCTGAGATGGAAAATATGAGAATCCAGATGATGGGTCACATGGATCTTATCCAAAACTTAGCTCAGGGACAAGAAGTGTTGAGAATTCTCATCAGCAAACTTCATCGGGACGAATACAACCGTATGGGATGAACAGTTAGAATTAGGAATTAAATCATCAATCAACCTCCGATAAGACATGAAGTTGGCTTGGTTGAAAGTAGGCCTTTCTGGATTGCTACTATATCACAAGCCTAACAACGACCTCGCCAACAACAATAGGACAGTCAGCGTAAACACGATACATCCAAAAGGCAATATACCAAACTCAACATGTCGATGTTGCAAGCCTTGCAACACATGTTGAAAATGAATTTGGTCACGTTGAAGGATCCTCCTCGAAATCCCAATACTTCCGCTCCTAGCTACAATCCTGATGCAAGGTGTGCATATCACTCCAACAGTCTGAGGCATGATACTGACAAATGTTGGATGTTGAAGTATAAGATTCAAGACTTAATCAACAAAGAAGTGTTGGAATTCACACAAGATGATCAGATTGAGCTTTTCTGTCACCCCTCAAAGGCACACTATCTGAAGTGACAAATTTAGGCGGAGAAGCTTTTTGTTCATTCAAATGTTCATTTGTAATTTCTTTGTTTGTTCAAACACTTATCTTTATGTCAGACTTTGGTTGTCCCCATTAATGCATTGCATATGTTTGTCTTGAATTAATTCATTCGTTTTCACTATACTTAAACTATGTTTTTTAAACTTTTTTTTTTTGAGTTTAGAGGGGTTAGTACTGGATAGAGGTATAGCGATGGCAATTCTCTACACAGCAGAAATCATGCAACATACTGTCTTTCCATGACTGCAACATTATCCAGACCACTCTAAAAAAGAAATTGGAAGGCAACAATAAACACATATAGATGGTTAGGACACGATATGTCACCAATGACATGAGGTATTGTCGTGCCTATTTAAAGACCAGATGTAAAATCCAACGTTCAATTAACTCTGAAATTTTTTATGATTTTTTTTTGGAGTTTAGAGGGGGGAGGAATTGAGGACTTAGAAAAATGATTTTTTTTTAAAAATATATAGAATTTTTTTTAATATTAATTTTTTTTTTGTTTAAAATGATAAAATAATACTTATCATTAATATATTTTAAAATTTTGAAATATTATAACAAAATAAATTATATTTGATCAATTTATTTAAGTCTTTCAAAATCTCCCAAAACTCTCTTCTAATATAAATTTTAAATTTCTTCAATTAAGAGATTTTTGAAACTATGAAGAAAAAAATCCCTCAACAACCCTCCCAATTAAAATCTATCTATTCTTTTCACCAAATCTTTCCTATTTTTTAAAACTCTCTTCTCCTTTTTCTTCTAAACTTTTTAAACAAAGCCTTAGAATTCCAGAAAGTAAATGAAGAAGATCTCATTCGATGAAGAAGATGATTTGTTTCACATTTTTAAAAAAAATATATTTTTAAAATTTTAAAAACATAACAATATTGAAATTTTATTAACTCATAAATGTCAACACAACCTCGGTAAATAACTCTGCAAAGAGGACACAACAAAAAAATATGAAATATGATAAAAATGGACCAAAAAAAACTATTTTTTAAATAAAAATTAAAAAATTATCAAAATCAATATAAGAGATCAAAACATAATTATGAAATCTTGAGATCTTACTTCCGTACTTCAATTCAATTAAATTTTTTATAAAAATAAAATGATTTCAAGTTATTTTGACAAATTGTTTTTAAATTAAGATTGGAGGTGTATTTTACTGATTGGCCAATTTTTCATCTAAATCTTGAAAAATGAATATATTTAATAATACTCCAATAATAATTAATTAATGACCATTGACCAGGGTATTCCTTAAATAAAGAATTTAATAAATAACATCTAGTTTGATTAGTGAATAATGATAACCCCGAATCTCATTCCCTAAACACCTCAACTCCATTTATTCACTACACAACAAATCTCTCATCACAATTCACACCAAATAGATCAATCATGGAAGGAATAGAACACAGAACGGTTGAAGTAAATGGCATCAAAATGCATATCGCAGAGAAAGGCAAAGAAGGACCGGTTGTTTTGTTCCTTCACGGCTTCCCTGAACTCTGGTACTCATGGCGCCACCAGATTGCTGCTCTCGGCTCCCTCGGCTACCGCGCGGTGGCTCCTGATCTCCGCGGCTACGGCGACACCGATGCTCCAACCTCAGTAAGCAGCTACACATGTTTTCATATAGTAGGTGACATCGTTGCTCTCATCGATTTACTATGTGTTGACCAAGTGTTCCTCGTGGCTCATGATTGGGGTGCTTCCATTGGTTGGTATCTATGCATGTTTCGCCCCGAAAGAATCAAAGCTTATGTGTGTCTCAGTGTTCCCTTCCTCCGTAGAAACCCTAAATTCAGGACCTTAGATGGCATGCGTGCTGCTTACGGTGAAGATTATTATATCTGCAGATTTCAGGTTCTTTCCATTTCTTTACTACTTTTCCATTTTCTTATACATATAAATAATCAATAATATTTGATACTTGTTACAGGAGCCGGGCAAAATGGAAGCTCAGATAGCTGAGGCTGGCATTGGATATGTGCTGAAAAATATCCTCACAACTCGCCAAACTGGTCCTCCAATACTTCCAAAGGGAAAGTATGGAATTGGATTCAACCCGGATGCACCTGAAACTCTGCCATCTTGGCTCACAGAAGAGGATCTTGCTTATTATGTCTCCAAATTCGAGAAAACCGGCTTCACCGGAGGATTGAACTACTATAGAAACCTTAACTTGTGATTTCTGTTTCTTTATGCTTCGAGAATTGTTTTTCACAAATGAAAACCAATGATGAAAAGAGTCTCAATTCTAATTACAGTTATACTATTTGTATTGCAGAAATTGGGAGCTCTCAGCACCATGGACTGGAGCGAAAATCAAGGTGCCTGTGAAATATATTGCAGGGGAGTTAGACATGGTATACACCTCGCCGCGCACGAAGGAGTATATTAACAGTGGAGGATTCAAGGAAGATGTGCCAAATTTGGAGGAAGTAATTGTGCAAAAAGGCGTGGCTCACTTCAACAATGAAGAAGCATCAGAGGAAATCAGTAATCACATTTATGAATTCATCAAGAAGTTCTGAGCTTATCTGTGAATGAAATAAGCAGACAAAGGTTGTTCTCTGCATCAATTGTACTGATGGGTTAGGGAGGTTTGTATGCCATATTTCTGGATCACCTTGGTATGTTTTGGACCTAGAAATATAAGCATCAATAAAGAGGGCCTGAGGGCCTTCTTGTAGGTTAACCACAAATCTATTTCGTAATGGTTTAATCGTGACAAGTATTTTAATCGACTCTTTTTAGCTACTGCTTAAATGTGTCAAAAACTTTGGGTCTGTGCATTAGTCCAACTTGCATGCTCTCAAAGACAGTCCCATCAATAATCTTTTAGAATATGTTTTGCTGGATGATCTCAGTCCGATTAACATCAGAATTCAGAACATATTGAGCTTTTGTATTGGATTACTGAGTCTGAACTTTCTTGCTTGTTATACAATTGTTCTTGAATTTTTTTCTTTTCACTCAGTTTTCATATTTATATACATGCCTTTTTAACAACCTTGAATGATCGTATAAGCTTTGGTTTCCTTCCCAAAATATTAAATTTAAATTGAAGACTGGTGTATAGATTGTGTGAAATTTCTCTATATCGAGTACAATTGTCTGCAGCCTATTAGTTATTAAATTTATTTATCTTATTTATGAATAATATTAATATGATTATTAAAGTATGAGTGTATATTTTATGCTAAAAATAGAAGTTAAGAATAAGTGATAGAAAGTTATACCTGGATTAATTTATTTTATCTAAAATTTATAACCAAATTATGGGTGAATAATATGCTGGTTAAATAATTTAATACGTTATTTTATAAAATTGTTAAATGTTATAATAATATTTTATAGTAAATTAAAAATGATAATGATCTATTAAAATAATAATTATAGATATATAATTTGGTGTAATATGTAATTATAAAATTATTAGAGATGAGAAGAAAATAAAATAACTAGGTGTGGTTTATAATAAATAGGTTAAATACAGTTCTGATTTTTTGTAAGTATGTTGATTTTTAGCTCTAAATTGAGTATGGGCTGTTTTGAAATGTTATATGCACTTGACATGAAGTGATGCCTGGAAATCCTGTTGTGAAATGATATGTTGTATTTTTATTTTTGTTTGTTCTAGGCCAACTCAGACTAATGTAGTAAGATTGAGAATTAATCATAAGAGACTTTACTTCATTATCCATGCAAAGCTTTATGTAGATGGAAAGATTGATGAAATTAATTGAAAATGGAATGTTGATTTTATCATATATAGAGATTGTGAAAGTAATCAACAAATTGGGTTATATAAGAATCAAATGTTGTAATAATCACTAAAAATGTGGTAATTTTTATCTGCAAGAAAATTGTTTTACTTTTTACAAATGTTTGTAAATAAGAAGTATTGTCTTTCTATTTGTTGGAAAAAGTCCCTTGAATCGGGGTGATTCAAAGTCCACCATAGTTGTTGGAATTTTTGTGAAATCAAGAAAGTGACGTGCTTCTTTTGTGTTATTAGAATATTATAAGAGAAGTCTTAGTGATAAGTTGGTACAAAGATCTAGCAATAGTGAAATCTCTCACGGGATGTGAGAAGACTACAATAATCTTGTTTGAAAAGTGGAATCAGGATATATCTTTGGGTCAATTTACTTGTTGCACTTTATTTTTCATGCTTTATTGTTCATCCATTCATCATAACTTTATGGAAAAATAAAAAGTGCCATAACATCTCTAAAATATCCAAAAAGTCTTAAAAACTAATTCACTTCTCCCTCTTAGGTTGCACTTTATACTTACAATTGACATCAGAGCAAATTAAAATTAACTTTCTTCTCGATTCAGAAATTATGGCTTATGCTAATCCTATTTTTTGAGATGGTGGTAGTAACAACAAACTTTCGTGCTTTGTTGGTGAATACTATGATTTTTAGAAGATTCGCATGCAAGCGTATCTAGAAGCACAAGGAGAAGAAATATGAAATGCTGTTGAAAATGATTCATATGTTCTTAAGATGGTTATCAATAATGTAGAACAAGAAAAAGTAAAAGGCTCTTGAAATGAAGATGACAAGAAGAAAGTTCTATTTGACAAAAAGACAAAGAACATGCTCCAATAAGTCTTAGGTATGGATGAATTCTTCCGTATATCTCATTGTAAAACATCAAAAGAGATTTGAGATACTTTAGATGTGACACATGAAGACACGATAGAGGTAAAAGATCTAAACTAAGCACTTTAGCAAGATAACAAGAGCTCGCACTTAAAGAAGTCATATGCTCCAATAATGGCCATCTAAGTGTTAATGGAAGCCATATACTCATATAGGTTATTTCATCCATCAAACTTAGCCCACAATGGAGGCTTTGAGTTCTCTGGGACGGGAGCCTCCCATATATTATTATATAAATGTTAGGATCCAACACTTCTAAATAATCCACCATGTTATCTCCTACTCGCGTTGTTGAATATGAAGGACATTATCTCCATGGGTTGGTTCTGGAAACAAAGGTCTTCCATATTAGCACACATTTATACTATAACACTTTCCTCGCCGTCGGATTCCATTAAATATTATGATGATGACCTAGTTAAATTTTACCATGACCCCACAATGGGCGTCAATTATATTTTTAAAAAATACAAATGTGTAACAACCCCTAGTGAATAAGGGCAGTCAGAGTCTTTAAGGTTGTTGAAATTTTGGTTGTCAAATCTCAGATGTCCTAAGAGATGTCGGGACACCAATCTCTTAACAACAATGCAATGAACAATCTAAAACAATAAATAGTGCAGATAGTAAACAACACACAAAATTGTTACCCCAGTTTGGTGTACAACAACACCCACTCTGGGGGCTACCAAGCCAGGAAAGAAATCCACTAAATAGTATCAATTTAAAACTAAACTCCGTCGATTATATCTTCTCACTTAATCACTACCCGTGCTATATTTCCACCTAAGACTCACATAGGTATGAGACCCCTCCCACTTCCCTGACAATCCCAAGCAGTGACAAGAACACAATTTAAATGAGTTAGACGATAAATTTCAAAAACAAACACTCACTATATACTTAGAAGCTTGAGAGTGATTGTCAATCAAGAAAGAGACTCCTTTCAATAAACAAAATTCACTCCTGCTTAAAATCTTGTGAGTGATTCACAATTACAACTCACCTAACAGTCCAACTCAAGTAACAAACAATGCAAGAGTGGGTCACACAAAAACAATGAACAGACGAAGCCCTAAATATTACTACTTTTACAACTTTGACTCGTATCTTCTCTATGTACAGAGTCTTATTTTTATAACCTTTTTCCGAGCTGGATTGAGCTTCAAAAACACAACAAAGAGATTGCACAAAGTCTGCAAAAAATTCTCCATGAAAATAGGTCTTCAATCATTAGTTTCCTAAAATGTCTCATCATTTAGAAACCTTGAATAATTTGAATACCTACATATATCTCTAACATTGGGTTGTTTGTTTGTTTTGTGTGCAGGTTATTGTGATTACATTCTTTGTCTGTAATCTGGAATTCATCTGTATACAGTCGTTACTTTACCAAATTTTTGTGAAGACTTAATGCAATTGAAGCTTGGTTTTCTTAAGAGGTTTATTATCTTTGCTTTCCTGGTTTCAATTCAAAGGATGAGAATTCTACATTGACTCATTATGTCAAGTGTTGACTTCTTGTTGGTTAGACGGTTCTTTTCCCCCAGCTTTTACTTTATGCCTTAGGATAGTCCCTTCATCTCCTCCCATCTTCTTTAATTTCAAAAATCTCCTCCCTCCTTTTGAAAACTCTTCTTGTTTTTTTTTGAACTTGAACCGCTTTCATAATAAACTCTGACTTATGTCCATGTATTTTCAAAATATTTTCTTAATCAAACTTTAATCAACTTAATAATATATTGACATTTTTGTGAGAATACTAAAAGTCAATCAATCTCATTCAAACCATTTTGCCACTTTGGCTTTTTACTTTAAAATTTTCTCAAAAAATTATACTCTTGTCATTCCTTGTAGTGATGCGAACTACTATACTTCTAGGATATGTAGTGAAGTGAGATATTTTCCACTTGGGTGTTGAGCGAAGCTTTATTGATTTTTAAAATCCAAGCCATATCCTCCACTTTGAGATGACGTAGATTTTCATTTCTTATAATTGTGGGTAGTAAGTATGTTTTCCACTCGGATAAGACAATGATGTCTCATCTCTTAAAATTAAACCAACACGCTTGTGTTTTAAAATTTTAAAAGGTGAACTACATGTACCCTGATCCCCTATTGCACGGAAGGTGGTACATAGGCACTAAAGATCCGCAACCACGGCGGATGCAAAAATTATAAAAAATATTTCTTTTTTCACCCCCCATAATCTATTTCTTATACAACATTTATAGCCAAAATACACAGATTTTTAAAGAGGTTTCTGCGGAGTACTGTAGATGCTTAGGGTGCTAATACCTTCCCTTTGCATAACAAACCCCCAAACTTAGATTCTCTCCCCTATTTTTGGGTTATTCACTCTTTTCCCATTCCTTTGAAAACAATAAAGCGCGTTGGCGATTTTTATTTGATTTTCACGAGTCAAGTCAATCAAATGGCTTAGTCTCAATATTTCTAACGCTACATAAACCGCCTAAAACCATGTTATTCGCGCTAAGCAAGCTCCAAAACAAAGCTTCTACAAAAATGTCAAAACACAAGCAGTGCAGTACAAAATGCGATGAGTGCACTCGCGCTTAGCGGCCTTTTGTGCGCTAAGAGGGCTCTCTTGTGCAAAACATCTAAAAATTGGTCTTTTATTTTGAAAACTCGCATCCGGAGCCGTCCCTTCGACACCTTATTCCTCGATGCTCCAAAATGAAACAAATACCTACAAAATGAATGGGAAAAAATCCAACGATACACTATCTACACAAAAACACAAATAAACACAAACAAAACGTATTTACACAAAAGTCGGGTTTATTCAACCGGTATTTACAACAAAGAGTTGGTAAGTGCAATAAAAAGTATATACAAAAATAGCTATAATTTTCACTTATCAAACTCTCCCCAACTTGAACTTGTTTATTCTCAAACAAGGCTAAATAACTCAAAGAACCAAAAGTAATCAACCAAAGTATCATGAATCAACAATTTTTAAAACGGAAAATAAATTTATGGTTCAAATTAAAATGCACACACAAGGTAAATACTTACTACAATCCTACAATGACAATATATAAACGAACCAAATCCTAAGTGAAAATATCATACTAAACATTCTAAAACAAAACAAGCTCAATCATAAATCACACATAGTAAAAATTTATCAGTAGATGAAGAACACACAAAGGTGAGAGGCAAAAAACACTCATCCACAATCTTGAAAACAATAAACTCAATTATGCATTCATCCAAAAACTCATATTGAAAATACAAATGCAAGAATCACAAGGGCTTTCATAGGTTGTAATGTGGCTTGGTTAACAAACAAGGGATAAGTCCTAAAACTAATTGAAACGTTCCTTAACCTAAGGGAGTGATCAACTCACAAAGACTCAAGCAATATAATTTCAATCAAACTTCCTCTTCATTCCAAATTTAAAACCAACACACATCACTTATTATCACAATATTATTCAAACTTTTATTGTTTTTGTTTTTCAAATTTTTTCTCTTTTTTCTTTCTTTTTATTTTCTTTATTTTTAACTTTCTTTCCTTTATCTCTTTCTTTCTCAACCTCATAGTAATACACACAAGAGAAAGCAAACAATTCTCTCCCAAACTTGAATTCAACCAACATCATAATGTGAACACTCCCTACTTTCTAAGGAAAGGTAAAAATTCAAACCATAAATCATAGTTGAGGGTTCAAGAAAACAAAGAATCAATATCCATACAAAAAGATGAACCAAACACTCATAGAAAAGCATTTACAAAATACAACATGGACATCAACAAAAAGGTTCAAAGGGGTTACTAATGATCACACACTCACAAGGTGAATTGACTATTTGGCTAGGTAGTTGTTCTTAAAATCAAACAAAAATCCAGTTAAAACAAGTGTTGTGGCCTCTAGCATATATGAATAATGGAAAGCTTCCTCATATTTATAGGTAAAAAGGGAACTAAAGTGATTCAAGTCATGAGCAAGTAATGCAAAAATAATGAATGGTATGATAATTATACAAATGATAAATTTCCTAAACATATTATTTTATAGAAAGCGATAAACGAGTATCTAGCGAGT